GACTTTGCATTTAGATGAATGCAACACAAAAGAGTTTTGGCTAAGGAAGGCACAATAAACTGCTTCAACTGTGACCACTACACTTTAGCATGTTGCATTCGCTTTCTGGAAATGTTCCATGAGGCTCAGAATTTAAGAAATAGTAAATTCAGAGTTACTGGAAGCATATGTATTTAGGGCTAAATGATGCAAGATTTGTTTTCCAGAAGGTTATAGCACTGCCTAACTTTTTTAGTTGTTTAGAAAAGACAATTGGAGTCTGACCTTATAAAATGTAAAAATGACAAATGGAATTTCTTAAACTTTGAGATTGAAAAACAGTTTGAAATGAAATATGTGAAGTGTGAAATAAAATATGTGAAGTATGCTATTATGTTTTCTTAAAAGTTATATTTCCATTATGAAAGTATGTTCATGTCTTATGTATACATACATCCATATACATGTATATACACTCAGAAAATTTGGAAAATACGGAAAAACAGGAAGAAGAAAAAAACTCTTTTAAATAGCTTCCAACTATGGATTTCAGTTATTAACATTTCTCCCAATAAATTTTCCATGTATAGATGGTTTTTGCTATGGAAGATTGGGAGAGGATGGGGATAGCCAAGTTGTAATCATAATGTGTATGCAGATTTATGTCTCTCCTCATTTAATATTTTAACAAAAGTATTTTCTGTGCTATTGCAGTTGTTTCTGTGCTATTGTAATTGTTTATACAATTATATATAATACTATTACATATAATTATATATAATTGTATAAATTGTTTATACAATTATATATAATTGTATAAACCTACTGTAATAGTATAGAAACATAGTTGCAGATTATTTATTTGAATTACATTAACAGTTTTTATAACAATTCTTATTATCAGGTGTCTAGATTGTTTGCAGTTTCATAATATTACAAATGACTCTATGTGTATTTCTATCTATAAAGTTCCCCCCCCTTTATTTTTAGTTATTTGCAGATTAGCTAGATTCCCAGAAATAAGATTTCTAGGGGCATTGAGAATAAACATTTCTAAGACTCTCTCTCTCTCTCTCTCACACACACACACACACACACATGCATATAGTTAAACTACTTGTATGAGTTTACAATTCTATGTGTAAAAAGGTCCATGAAATTATATCTTCACCAACATTGGCTGTTTGCTGAAAAAAAGAACTTGGCTAATTTAAGATATAAACATTGTTTCTCATAATTTTTGCCCTACTTTCTTCTCTTGTGGGAAATGCTGGGTGAGGGACAGGCCAAATCAGAGGGTCCCATGGGAGCCAGAAACAATTTGTGGAGCTGAAGCACTATCAGGATAATAAGTTGAAAGGAAGACACTGATCTGAGGGAAGCATGGACCATGGAAGCAGTGTTTGGAGCTTCAGAGAGTGGGAGAGGCAGCATAGAGTGGCAGAGCCATGGGTCATGTGGAGGAACTTAGGGAGGGTCAGACATTGGTGTCATGTGCAGGCCCTGTGTGGGGAAAAGTAGCTTCTGGAGGGAGAGGATCTCATAATATAGTCTGGAGGGAGACTTAATATTGTTCTTTACATTCTTTTATGCCACTTTAAAAATATTTGGTTTACTGTGTACATATATTACTTTTCAATGAAAAGTTAGTTTATTAAAAAGGAGAAGTGAGGAAAATTATACTTCTTTAACTACTAGTGGGCTTGCATACTTTTCATATATTGTCAGTCTCTTTTAATTTCCTTTTATTTTACTGATATGCTAGAGAGTTGGGCAAAATTTTGTAGTAAGATTTTTTTAGATAATTTTCTTGTTATATTTCTAATGTATTCCTGTACCTTATCTTTTTATGAGTTGAACATTTTTATCATGATTAATTTAATTAAAGAATTCCCCCCCCCCCGGGAAAATTTTTTTCCCTCCCTTATTAAGCAGAAATGGTTCCAAGTCTCATTTCTTCATTTGCTTGGTTTCCTCCTTTATCTCCCCAAAGACATGGATGGACTACATTGTTTCTTAATGTTTTCCATTCATTGGTATCCTCACGCATGTCTAAATTTGTGGCACTGTGGCCGAAAAACTATGGGTTTTAATAAGTGGAACCGGAATTGAGGGTGAGCTAGGCCTTGAAACTACTATTGCTCACTGTCTTTCTGAAGAAGGAAGCTCTGATAAGGAGGAACTCTGAGGATTGGTTGGGCTTGTTCAAGACTGCGGGGCCATTGATATGGGAGCCCATAGGTAGGTGGTGGAATGTATTTACGAGAGAGAAAAGTGGAAAGGTGAAGGGTCACATGAACTGGGAGCGCGCCTCCTGTCAGGTGGCCTGGACAGGGGAGCCAAAGTATCCAAAATTACCACTATGCATGAGTTTGCTCATGACCACAGAGAGGCAAGTGCTAGTTCGTTGGCTCAAAACTGATATTTTAGTTAACTGATTGGAGGAAGAGTAGGAAGATTTACATTCTACACAGTCTCAATTATTGTTTACACTTGAATGTGAGCAGTTATTTAATCTCTCTAGTTAACTAGTCTTTAAAAAGAATTGGTGCGATACCTTCCCTAAACTGTTTCATAGGTGTTTTAGTGAGAATGATGAAGTTTCTATTATAAAATAGTAGTGAATTTTCTTTTGCTTTTGTTTATTGTCTTTGACTATGTTTTATCACTTTCTCTGAATGCATTTTTCATTCCTCATTTTTGGAATCCTTTTTTCGTATGCTCTTTTCTCTGTTAATATGTGATGTGCCCTGTGCCTACTCTTTGTGGCCATCCCCATTTTAGATTTCTTCCTTCAAGCATTACCAAGAAGAAGTAGAAGAACTTTGTGAATAGAGAGACACTTATTTTTCTCTTTTTCATAGACGCCTGCTAATTTATGCCTCCTCCTCTTTCCCTGAAGGACCTTTGGGCATTTTTCTCTATCTCATACTCGAGGGAATGGAAAGCTCCAATGCCTTGTATTGCTAGATCTGTTTTTAAAATATGCCCTATTCTTAGGGAGTAACTAAAACTTTATATATCTTCTGTTTTCTCCCCTTCTAGGCAAAGTGGTTCAAACCGCAAATTACCTAACAAGTAAAAGTGGTCATATAGCAATACTAGAGGAATTTGTATCTTGTTTAGTATAGCTAAACCATCCTTGATGGGAGTGTTTTCCAGTGAGTTTGCCTGGAATGGCTAAGGAGATCAGCAAAGAAATTATGTTTTAATGGAAGGAGACTGGTTAGTATGTCTTTAACACTTCGTTTGAATCACTTGAAATGAATTCAAGTTGGTAAGGTATGTTGCCAACTTATATGTTTTCATAATTTTAAAAAACTGTTTGGATATAGGTCTGTAACTTGCCAAATAACTAAGGAGAAATGACAGAATTTAAAAAATATAAATCAAGACAACTAAAGCTTTTTCTTTTTGCTCTAGTAGGGAGCGAGGACTGATAAGGAATACTTGACCAAGAAATGGAATATTGTATTTTATTCTTGCTTATAAATGTTTAGCAGTGCTCTCTGAAGGAAATGCATAGCAAGCTATGTTAAGATCATTTTAAGTTCTATACAATGCTGTTATATCTTATTGATGCTTTGAATTTAGTCTTGAACAGCTCAGAAGGAGTCCGGCTATTGAGGTCAACAGATTTGCCAGGGAAAACTTTGTACTTTACTTACCAAATCGCTTTCGTATCAAGATACCCCTCTTATTCACTGTACGATACTGAAGCTCTTACCTTTTCCTCTGTTCATCGTCTTTATTTGAACATCCTAAGACCTGTTTTTCCTATACATGAAAGAACACTTACTGATTTCCCCATTGTCATTTAGTTCCTATAAATCAACCCACTCAGTGGAGCAAAGTAATTCCTTTAAAAAATGCATTCCTTTACTTTTTATTTGTTTTCTTTTGATAGAAGCTATGCTTGGTTTGTCCTTAGGACAATATAAAGTAGTGTTCTCAAAGTGTGGTCTGCAGACCTCTGGGGTCCCTGAGACCATTTCAAGGGTCTGCAAAGTCAAAACTGTTTTCATAATCATATTAAGATATTATGACTTCTTTTTTACAGTGTTAATATTTGCATTTACATTGCAGAAGCAGTGGTGTGCAAAACTGATGACTTGGCATTAACCACAGCAGACATCAAGCTATACTCATAGTTATTTTATTCTCTGTTGTCACACATACTCAGTTAAAAAAACAACAACAGTTCACTTAAGAATGTCTTTGATGAAGTAATAAAAAATATGAATTTTATAAAGTCATGACCCTTGAGTACACACGCTTTCAATATTCTGTGCGACAAAATGAGAGTACACATGGAAGACTACTGCATACCTAAGTATGTTGTCTCAAGGAAAATCATGAGTGTGATTGAGTTCCAAGCTGAACTAGCTGCTTTTTTCTTGGAACCATCCTTTTTTACTTGGAGGAGTGACTGATGGATGAACTGTGGTTATTCAGATTTGCGCATTTGGCAGACATTTTCCCATGTCTCTATTTTATGCCTATCTTTTTCAGGCCTAACCGTCACCATTGTGCTTATATTTCTGTGAGGCTCTAGTGTTTACAGAGCGTTTATTTATATCTGGTATTACAGATACAGATGGTCTGTGGATCTGAGTTGAATTACTTTAGCATATAATGCTGAATTTAGGTAGAGATCGAAAAAAATTAAAATTATAAAAGAATAAGAAACAAATTAAGTCTTCCAGGGCTAAAATTATGGTCTTCTAGGATATTTAGGTTTCTTGTTTTGTTACTACCCGGCTTTACACTTCACTGTTTCTGCCTATTCATGATGGAATTCCTCCTCAATTTTTCTGCAAGGATTTTTTTAGAAGGCAGGAGAAATTGCCAATATCAAAAGATTTCTCTAACTTCATCTCTGGGTATATGGCTAACTAGGAGTAGTCTGTTCCTCTTAGATTTCTATTACTCTTTTCCTCTACATTGATGTGTGAATGTGATACTGGATTTGTATGAAATTTCAGTTTTAACTGGTCTTTTATTTGTTATGGCTTTTACAGAATCTTGCCTCCTGGAATCCTTCAAATCCTGAATGTCTCTTACTTGTGGTGAAGGAACTTGTGCAACAGTATCACCAATTCCAATGCAGCCGCCTCCGGGAGAGCTCCCGCCTCATGTTTGAATACCAGACATTACTGGAAGAGCCACAGTATGGAGAGAACATGGAAATTTATGCTGGGAAAAAAAACAACTGGGTAAGAATTTTTGAGAATGGGAAAAAAGATGACTTCATCTATAATAAAATAATCAATTCAGATGTTCATTTGAAAATCCTAGTCATTTCTTTAAATAACCATGGTCTAGGTAGCCTATATGTTTCTCATAATTTAGAGTTTAAAGAGACCTTAATGTTTGTCTAGTTCATTGTGTTTCTTAAAGATATTACCTGGGAAGTTTGTAAGATTCAGAGTCTCATCCCCAGCCCCAGATATTCAGCAGTCAGAGGTGGAGCCTGAGGGCCTGCACGTGCTACCAGTCTCCATGTCATTCTGATGTATGTGGCTTGCAGGTCACATTTTGAGACACTAACAAGTTTCCCCGTCCTTTGAATGGAAGACTTCTCCAATATCCCAGTAAGGTAAGAGAGGTCAGTAACTCTGGAATCTGCTAGCTTACATGGTGCCTTTTATATTTTCTTTTTGTAACTTAAACGATTATATGATCTTTTAAAAATTCAAGTCAGACCTTATTGCTCCTCTTCCCAGAACCTTATGTACTTCTCTTTTTTCTCTCATAGTAAAAGCCAAGTCCTTCCAGTGGTATAGAAAACTCTGTATGGAGAAATGCAAATCAGAATCACAATGAGATACCGTCTCATGCCAGTTAGAATGGCGATCATTAAAAAGTCAGGAAACAACAGATACTGAAGAGGATATGGAGAAATAGGAATGCTTTTACACTGTTGATGGGAGTGTAAATTAGTTCAACCACTGTGGAAGACAACGTGGTGATTCCTCAAGGATCTAGAACCAGAAATACCTTTTGACCCAGCAATTCCATTACTGTGTATATATCCAAAGGATTATAAATCATTCTGCTATAAAGACACATGCACACGTATGTTTATTGCAGCACTATTCACAATAGCAAAGACTTGGAACCAACCCAAATGCCCATCAGTGATAGACTGGATAAAGAAAATGTGGCACATATACACCATGGAATACCATGCAGCCATAAAAAGGATGAGTTCATGTCCCTTGCAGGGACATGGATGAAGCTGGAAACCATGATTCTCAGCAAACTAACACAGGGACAGAAAACCATACATGGCATGCTCTCACTGATAAGTGGGAGTTGAACAGTGAGAACACATGGACACAGGGAGAGGAACATCACACACCGGTGCCTGTTGGTGGGAGGAGGCTATGGGAGGGATAGCATTAGGAGACATACCTGATACAGATGATGGGTTGATGGGTGCAGCAAACCACCGTGGCATGTGTATACCTATGTAACAAACCTGCACATTCTTCACATGTATCCCAGAACTTAAATTATATATAATATACAAATTATATATATAAAAAACAGACCAAAAAAAAGAAAAAAACAAAACTATATGATTCCCATCACTACCATCTTCCATCCATCATTAATTTTGTCTGTTCATCTCCGACCTTTCTCTTTCAAATTCAACTCCAGCCACACTAGCACCCTGCTGTGCAGCAAGCACACCAGATATTCTCTTGCCCAAGGGTCTTTGCATAGGCTCTCTGTTGTCAGGGGTGTTTTCCCCAGATATGCACATGGCTAATACTCTTCTTCCTTCAAACTTCTACTAATGTTATGTTCTCAATGATGCCCTGTTAACACCCCCAGCAGCCATTTTGAGGTATAATTTACATATCATAAATTTACCTGTTTTAAGTGTACAGTTAAATGATTTTTAATAAGTTGGCTGATTTGAGCAACCACCACCATTATCCAGTTTTAGAATGGTTCCATCACCCCAGTGAGATCCCTCATGTCCCTTGCAGTTAATCTTGTTCCCACCTCCAGCCCTAGTCAGTCACTAAACTACTTTCTATTTCTATAAATTTTCTTTTCTGAACATTTCTTATGATGGAATCATACAGTATGTGGTTTTTGTGACTGAATTCTTTCACTTAGCATATGTTTGAGGTTCATCCATGTTGTAGCATGTATCAGTACTTCATTTCTTTTTGTGGCTGAATAATACTCCATTGAATAGACATACCACGTTTTGTTTATCCATTTACCAATTAATGGACAGCTGGGTTGTTTCCACTTTTTGACTTTTATGAATAATACTGCTTTAAGCATTCATGTGTAAGTATTGGTAATACCCCTTTTAAACATTGTGACTTGCACCCGTACCCTCTCCTCTATTTTTTACTTTGCTCCATGTGGCTTTTTTGCATTTCCTTTTGGCATGCCATATAATTAATGTATTAGTTATATGTTGCTATGTAAAATAATCATTCCAAAACTTAGTGGCTTCAAACAATAACATTTATTATCATAGTTTTTGGCAGCAATCTGGGTAGGCCCTTTGCCTCAGGGTTTCTCACAGGCTATGCTTGAAGTGTTGGCTAGGGCTGTGGTCATCTCAAGGCTCGACTGGAGATGGAGTCATTATAAATGCATGTGTGTGGTAGTTGGCATAGTTCAGTTCCTCATGGGTCGTCGAACTGAGGGCCTGAGTTCAGGGCTGGCTGTTGTCTGGAGGCCGCCTTCAACTGCTTGCCTCTCTACAGGGCAGTGCACAAGATTCAGAGCAAGCAAGTAGGGGAGAGCAAGAGGGAGTGTGTGAGCAAGATAGAAGTCACAATCTTTTATAACCTAATCTTGAAAGTGACAGCCCATCACTTTTGCTGTATTCTATTTGTTAGGTCCAATACCCCACCCTCCCAACACACCTACACACCCCACACACATACCTACACACACACACACAGAATTACATAGGAGTATGAATACCAGAGACCACTGGGAGCCACTTAGAGGGAGCCTACCATACTTATTGATTATGTTTATTGTGTGTCTGTCCTCATTGAAATATAAAATCTCATGAGGGCAGGGATCATTGTTCACTAGCAAATCACAAACACCTGGAACAGTGTCTTCCACTTCATTGGTATTCCATAAACGTTTTTGAATGAATGAATGAATAAACTCTCATTAAGCACAGAATAACTTTAGGTGCTCTTCTGTGCTAATTCTTTTAGGTTTCACTGTCTTTCTTAGGCTAAATAACACTCCCACTTTTATTCTTCAGCTTTTTCTTTTACTTTTTTGGAGACAGAGTCTCACTCTGTGGCCCAGGCTGGAGTGCAGTGGTGCAATCTCGGCTCATTGCAACCTCCGCCTCCTGGGTTCAACAATTCTCCTGTCTCAGCCTCCTGAGTAGCTGGGACTACAAGCGCATGCCACCACCCGGCTAATTTTTGTAGTTTTAGTAGAGACGGAGTTTCACTGTGTTGGTCAGGCTGGTCTTGAATTCCTGACCTCAGGTGATCCACCCGCCTTGGCTTCCCAAAGTGCTGGGATTATAGACATGAGCCACGGTGCCCGGCCTCTTCGACTTTTTCTTAAAGGTTTTGATTTTAAGGTTTTACACGTGATTAATGCCTTCAAATCAGCATGACTAAAATTTTTGTTATTACAAATCATGTTGTTTGTTCAGTTCAAGGTTTTTTTCCTTTTGTAAAGTCTTGAATTTATATTTCAGTAAAAGACACATAACACTACATTTGCCATCTTTACTATTTTTAAGTGTACAGTTCAGTAGTGTTAAATATATTCACATTGCTGTGCAACAGATCTCTAGAACTTTTTCATCTTGCAAATGAACCCATTAAACACTAATTCCTCCTCCCCCCAGCACTTGGCAGGCACTTTACTCTTTTCTGTTTCTATGGTTTTGACTCCTTTAGATACTTCATATGGGTAGAATCGTATATTTGATTTTTGTGACTGCTTATTTCACTTAGCATAATGTCTGAGGTTCGTCAGTGTTGTAGCATGTGATAGGAATTCCTTCCTTTTTAAGGCTGTGTAGTATTCAATTGAGCGTATTTACCATATTTTACTTATCCATTTATCCATCAGTGAACATTTGGGTTGCTTCTACCTCTTGGCTATTGTGAATAATGCTACATTGAACATAGGTGTGCAACTATCTCTTTGAGATTCTGCTTTGAGTTCTTTGGGATATATACCTACAAGTAGGATTGCTAGGTTTTATACAATCCCATTTTTAATTGTTTGAGGAATTTCCATACTGTTTCTTTAACAGCTGCACTATTTTACATTCCCACCAACAGTGCATGGTTCAAGATGCAAACTATTGATAATTTTGAAACATTAATATGTTTATATGGCTAATAAGGAAAACTTTGTTGAACTTAGTTTATCCTCTATCCCCAGCATTTTCCTATTAAATAATTGACTTAATTGTCCTTACATAAATGGATGTTAGGTTAATTTGGCATGACTTCTTGGTGAACATGTGTTGTCTTTAGTGCTGACAGGCTCATCTGAAAGCAGGAATCACTGTCAAACTAACCAGTCTTTAGTTTTTAGGATTTGCCTTTGTGTCTCATTCCCCCTTTTTAATATTAATGTGAATTTGAATATAATCCAGCTGTATGGCACCTTTGTTACCTAATAATTTTCAAAATGTTATTCAGTGACTCAGCTAATACTTGAGGTGTAGTTCATCTAGGTGTAGAAGTTTGAATTCATTTCAGCAGATAGTTTGTTTTTATAGTATTTTTAAACTTTCTGTTTAATGTTACCAATACTCCTTTCTTTACTTACAAAACCTACTACTGCTACACTTATCTCAGTTTATTTTGATTTGATATTAAGTAGTTTGTAAACATTAGGGCAATGGTTATGGATTCAGGTGAAGTAAAGAAACTGAGAATCCTATAACAAGGCAAAGTAGACCTAGGTTAAGCTTATGGCAGACCAGGCCTAGGAAAGGCCTAGTAGAAATGGTAGCTGAGACTATAGAAGTAAAATTATGAGTTGGAATCGGGGAGTAGGTCAAGAAACAGGGTATAAAAGTGAGTCTTGAGGGATGAACAAATTAGAGCTTGGCATGAGGGTTCAGGAGTATTAAAGGACAGCCCGCTAATGGAGGAAAAATCTAGACCAAGAGTCTAGAGATAAACACTGGACCCTGGCGGAGAGAAAGGAGCTTGATTTTGCGCCAAGATTTTTT